AAATCTCTGTATAAAAATAAGAAACCTGTTTAAATTCCAGCAACTTTATGTATCAGTAGTGTATCAGTAGTAAAAGTCAATGTTAAGTCAGACAAGATAATTATATTTTAAGAATCTTTAATATCGGTTATAAAAAATTATTTTTAGTCGGATATAATGTTTTAAATTTCTTATAATGAAAATATCAGTAGTAGAAATCAATTTAATAGTCAGACAGAATGTGTTAAATACTGGAAATCAGAGTATAAGTAATTAAAAATCGAGTTAATTTAAAAGAGAATTGAACAAAAACGTTGAAAACCAAAAATCGACTAAAAGAAATGTTTTCAAAATTATATCAGTAGTAAAAGTCACTTTCAAGTCAGCCTTAGTTTCTTATTTTCCCTAAATTACTCAATTGTTGGCAAAAATTATTTACAGTCAGAAAAAAAGTGCAATTTTTATTCGTTTTTGAAAATCAGTAGTAAAAGTCAGTATTTAGTCAGACAGGACTATTTAAATTCATAGAATATTATCATTCTAAGAATTATAATAATGAATGGTAAATAGTCTTTATAAAAATACGAAACCTGTTTAAAATCCTTCAACCTTATGTATCAGTAGTAAAAGTCAATATTCAGTCAGACAGAACTATTTAAATTAACAAAATAAAGAAATAAATAGTCAAATCTATTTATAAAAATATAAAAACTTTTAAAATTCTAGTAACTTTATAGTATCAGTAGTAAAAGTCAATATTTAGTCAAACAAAATAATTAGAATCTAAGAAACTTCAATGTTAGTAGTAAAAATTTATTTCTAGTCAGACATATCCCGAGTCGAAATTTAGACCCTACTTAGCCTCTGAAAATGTAGGGCTTATTCAGGTTTAGCAGTCGTAAAGTAGGGTCTGATTTCAATACAATTTTTAAAAACTAGACCCTCCTTTGACTCCCAAAATAGGCTGAAATTTGCCAATCTTCCATTTGGAGAAGCAAAGGAGGGTCTACTTCTAAGAAACCTATACCGTACTTTAAAACCTCGTAGACCCTACTTTCATACTCCTAGACCCTACAATTAGAAAAAGAAAAATTTGAAGATTTGCTCAGATTCAATTGAAGCACTAGGGATGAGTAAAAGTGGAATTTTATGTGTTTTATAGCGTCTATATACACGAAGTGTATATAGACGCTATAAAACACATCAGTATTTATGAATTTGGAGTACTTTTTGCATTTGCAGTGTTCCAAGTAATGCATTAAAAAATAATTCTAAATTTTCTTTTAGAATGTAGGGTCTAGGAGTATGAAAGTAGGGTCTACGAGGTTTAAAAGTACGGTATAGGTTTCTTAGAAGTAGACCCTCCTTTGCTTCTCCAAATGGAAGATTGGCAAATTTCCGCCTATTTTGGGAGTCAAAGTAGGGTCTAATTGTATTAGAATTAGACCCTACTTTACTACTCCTAACACTCAATAGACCCTGAAAATTCAGGGTGAAAGTAGGGCTTAAATTTCGACTCGGGATGACCTTAAACTCGAATATTAGTGGTATAAATTGCTTCAAGTCAGACACAATAATTGAATTTTCAGAAATTTTCGAAAATCAGTAGTAAAAATCAAAATTCAGTCAGACATAATATTTAAAATTTTTTAAATTAAAAAATATCAGTATTATGAGAAAAAATATTAACAAAGCCCAAATTAAAATACAATAATCATAAAATTAATTAAAGATTAACAATAATAAACTCTCACTTTACAGTTTATAACAGTTTCTCGCTAATTATTTCCGGAAACGCAAGCCTCGACGTTGGCGTTTTGCGTGTATAAAGTGCATATAAGTGGTGTACAAGTTGTTCATCCCATCAGTGACGTAATGCGTGGAGTGAAAACAACTCTTAACAATGTTGACTAGGCTAGAAATCTATTCGTCTGTTGATAACAAGCTTGTGGTAAACGTGAGTTTCGTGCAACTCTACTAGACAAAAACCCCTTCTCACTCTCTCTCTCTCTCCTCCTCCCCCTCTCTTTGTCTTCACAATGCTTAGAAATAGAGCCTCAAGAAATAAGCTCTTTCTCTCTCTCTTTCTCTCTATATAGTAACATATCTAAAGTAGGCAACTATCTGCGTGCGCCAGTGTATATTCTATCGTGCATTATTACTCGAGGGTTAACGAGAAAGCCAAATGACTAATTAGATACATTAATTTTCAATGAGTTCATTATGCAAAATTAATTATTCGATATACGTATAATATATGGAGGTTAATATATAAATATTAATTTTCTAACATTAATTTATTCTCGATTTCATTCAGGTGGACTAAAATTTTTTTATTTTTCGAAATCAAATTAATAAAAATTAAATTAATTAAAATATTTCCTCTCTCTATATTTATTAATATTATTATTAAATATTATTAAATATCACTAGGAAAATTGTTTACATCTCTTAAAAATGTATTTATTCTAGTTATGATATGTGTAACAGTAGTAAAGGTCACTTTTAAGTCAGACTCAGTGTTTTCTTCACCGGAAATTACTTTATCAGTGTTCAAAATGCTTTATAGTAAGATAAAATGTTTTAAATTTTTTATCAATTTTGAATATCAGTAGTAAAAGTCAGTGTTCAGTCAGACAGTATAATTTAAATCTATATTAATAATCGTTGTATTCCGGTAATCTGTTCGCAGTTTGAAGTTAGTTGCTGTTTGCTTTTTTGATCCCTAATTTTTCAAAAAAAAAATTTCTTCTTAAATGTTTAAAATTTTTAAATTAATGTACTGAAAATCATTGAATTCAATTATTTTAAATACGATTATAATTGAATTCCAGGGAAAATTAAATTATTTATAAATTCTTGGTAAGAATTCAATTATATCAATAAATAATCAATATACCACAAGAATTCAATTATTTTAAATACAATTTTAATGAAATTCTTCTTAAAAATTCACTTATTTTTAAAATTTTTACAAAAATTTAATTATTTGTAGAAATAATAAATTCTTTTCAAGAATTCAATTATTTTCAGAAATGATTAAATTGTTGATGTAGTGAAAATGATTGAATTCTTGTAAAGTATTTATAAAAAAAAAATTTTAAATAATTAAATTCATTTCAAGAAGTTTATCAACATTTTTTTTTCAATAATTGAATTTTGTTGAGAAAATGTAATTAAAATTATTGTATTGAAAATAATTTAATTCTTGGCAAGATTTTTATGAAAATTTTTTAAAATAATTGAATTGTTTTGAAGAATTTCTTTCAATTCTCTTGTTAATAAAGGAGTTTTTAAAAAATAATTTTTACTTTTTGAAGTAATTTTGAATTGAATTTTATAAAGATTTTCTTTTAAGTTTTTAAAATAATCGTGTTTATTATTAATTGTAATTAACGATTTTCCTATTAAATTATATGAAAATTATTCATAGAAAATTAAATTCTTTTAAACAATTTTATTATAGTTTTTTGTAAATAATTACATTTTTTATTTAAGAATTTTATTCAATATCGTAAAAATAATTTCATTTTTTAAAGTAATTTTAATTGGAAATTTTGAAAATAATAGAAATTTACAAATAATTTTATTAAAAATTTTTGAGAAGAATTAAATTGTTTAGAAAAATTTTATTACAATTTTTAAAAATAATTTTAAATATAATTGTATTCTTTCGATAAATTTTATTCAAATAGTATTGGAAATAATTGAATTCCTTTATATAGAATTTTATCTGAATTTTTGAAAATAGTTACATTTTCTGAAGGAATTTTATCGAAATATTTTAAAAAATAATAATTTTTTAAAAAAATTTCCATCAAAATTGTTGAAAATAATTGAATTTATATTAAAATTCTTGAAAATAATCGAATTTAATTAATATTTTTAAAAATAATTGTATTCTTTCGAGAAATTTCATTAAAATTGTATTGAAAATAATTGAATAGCTTTAAAAAATATTATTATTTATGAGAAAAATGAAATTCTTGCAAAAAATTTTATTAAACATTTTTGAATAATAATAATAAACAAGAATATTTAATATTATGTACTTATTAAGTGAATTATTTAAAGTTTTCATCTGTAATAATTCAATAAAATCCCATTTAAATTATAAAAAAACTTTTTAAACTTCAAAAGTTTTTACAATCAGCACTAAATGGGTATTTTTCAGTCAGACATAGTGTTTTATTTTTCTTAAATTACAAAATTTATAGTAAGAAAATAAGGTTTAATTTCTACCAATTTTTTTAAATCAGTAGTAAAAGTCAGCAGACAGGAATATTTAAATTCTTAAAATAAAAAAATAAATGGTAAAATCTCTTTATAATAATAAGAAACCTGTTTAAATTCCAGCAACTTTATGTATCAGTAGTAAAAGTCAATTTTATGTCAGACAAAATGTTTATATTTTAAGAAACTTGAATTTCAGAATGAAGAATCTATTTTTAGTTACACATATATTTTATGAAATAAAAATATCAGTAGTAAAAGTCAGTATTAAGTCAGACATAAAATATATTTTTTGAAATAAAAATATTAGTAGCAAAAGTCAATGTTAAGTTAGACATAATGTTAAAACTAATATATTAGTAGAAAAACTCGGTGTTTAGTCAGACATAATGATAAAATATTGTTAAAAATTTTTAATATCAGTAGTAGGAATATTATTTATAGTCAGAAATTATGTTTTAAATGTCTTAAAATAAAAACAGTAGTAAAAATCAGTCTTTAGTCAGACATAGAAGAATTTTAGAGAAACCTAAAGGTACTAATAATTTCTTTTTTAAAAATAATTACCCTAAATGGTTTTGAAGTTATTTTTTTTCCCTAAAATTACTATTAAAAATATAATATTCATAATAATGGAATTAAACTCTTATTTTCTATATATGTGTAAAAACATTTCTGCGGCAACGTGTAATTCGTTCTAATCAGATTCAAGTTCTCGCGGTAAGTGCATTCTTGCAATTATAGTTTTAATTAAATTTCGTGAATAAATAAAGTCAAAAAGCACTCACCTCAACTACATAGTGGAGTCCGGATAATGTCATCCTTGCAACAGAGTCTTTTCTTTGAAGCGGTTGCTGACATCTTCTTAATGTCACAGACTAAAAAGAGAAAATTGTGATTAAGATCCTTTCTATCTTTATAAATATATTTATAAATATATAAAAGATATTTTCTCCACTCTTTGACAATCAGACATAAAGCTATTTTCTCCTGTACTTCCATTTCTTGAAATCTTTTTATAATATCTTTCAACATAAATTTTAATCCAGTTATAAAAAGCAAAATTCATTCCTTTATCAAAAATTTAAAAATATTAATTTGCAAATTTTATTATTTATTTTTACTCTTCTTCCTTTTGTACTTTTTCTACTCTATTAATTTTACCATTTTTTAACATTAATTTCAATTCAATTATTTATCAATATTAAGTTTAATTTCAAATTGAAATTATAATTAAAATATTGTTCTTAAATTTTTAAATGAATCGTGAATTTCGAAAAGAGCTCAACTTAAAAAAGCGTAAGTCTCATTTTCACATAACTATTGCTAGTGGAAATGACTCTTACGGTTTTCAGAGTTGAGCTCTTTTCGAAATTCACGCGATTCAATTTGAATTTAAAATTTAATAAATTTTATTACCAATACAAATATTGTTATTAAAATTCAATATTAATACTTTTTGCTTCCTCGAGGAAAGATTTTATTTACTTTATTTTGAAGAAGAAATCAAATAAAAAATTTTCATTAAAAATAAATTTTTCTCACATATATTTTCTTGGCAATTTATTAATGGAAATGAATTAAAAATTAAAATGGAAAGAAATTTGTTTTCAGTTACTCTCTATATATATACATGTATATAAATAGAAGAAGTAAAAAAGAGAATAGAATAGTTTTTTTGATTTTTTTTTTCATCGGTCCCATGAGTTCAATAACGTAATAATGCATTTGATTGGACAGTGGATAAACGAGTCCTGAACAAATCGTGATGCTATCGAAATGAGTTTGTTTCCTGAAATCGCGGAAACAAGGACAAAAGAGAGAAGCAAAAAAAAAGGGAGAAAAATAAAACATTGTTTTAGATGAGCAATATCTGAACAGAACAAGTTATTTTGTATAGAAATTTATAAGAATTCTTGATGAAAAAAAATTAAATTATTGCAAAATTTAAAAATTACAAGATCGTCAATTTTCTTGAATGTTGAAATTTAATTTCAATTTACTCAAAAGTAAAAATTATTATTAAAATATTATAATTATGTATATAATTATAATAAATCGAAAATTAAAAGAAAAATTTAAATAATACAATTTTTTTAAAAAAGTTTATTATTATTTTGAATATGCTTATTTATAATATTTTATTATTATATTATCCTAATTATTTTTAATTATTTTTTTACTTTAAATTTCATTGTCATTTCTTATGGAAAAATCTATACTACCCTAATTGCAAAAATTGAGAAAAGTTTCTAACATTCATCGAAAGATTGTCCAAAGGTTGTCAAAAAGTTTTCAAATTTTAAGAGCAAAAATTATTAAAACAAAAAAAAAATGCTAATAGAAAAATTACATTTCCAAGCTTCTGTAAACATTTGAATTTCAATTTTGTGATTGAAATCTAAACTCTATTTGAAACTGGTAAATGAGATACAAACTCTCGAAATTGAATTAACTATTATTAGATTGAGAAGCTTCATATTTTGAACAAGCAAAGTAAGTTTATAATATGCTTATAATAATAAATGTTCTTTTGTGATAATAATGTTTATTTAAAATAATTGATAATAAATATTGAACGTAAGGCAAAGACATCGTTATTATCATTTTAATATTTTTCCTATACTTTATCCATTTTTTTTGCTTTCAGTATTTTTTAATAATAATTTTCATTTAAGTTAATATTAAATTTCAGAATAATATATTAGATATTATCTCATCGAATTGACTCAAAATTTGAAAAAATGAAAAGAGACTAATTGTAAGTGAGAATTTTGTCAAAATTATATCAGTAGTACAAATCAGGTTTTAGTCAGATAGTGTTTTATTTACCTTCAATTACTCAATTCTTGATAAAAAAATATTTACAGACTGAAAAGTAATTTAAATTCTAACTATTTTTGAATATTAGTAGTAAAAATCAGTATTTAATCAAACAGAACTATTTAAATTCTTCAAATAAAGAAATAAATAGTAAAATCTCATTTTAATAACAATAAACCTGTTTAAATTCCAATAACTTCAAGTATCAGTAGTGAAAGTCAATTTTAAGTCAGACAAAACTTATATATTTAAAAAAAAACTTTAATTTCAGTAGTAAAAATCAGTTTTTAGTCAAATATAAAATTTGAAATTTGTTAAAACTTATTAGTAGAAAAACTCGGTGTTTAGTCAGACATTATGATCAAATATTCTTAAAAATTTTTTAAATCAGTAGTAAAAAATTATTTTTAGTCGGACATAACATTTTAAATTTCTTAAAATAAAAATATCAGTAGTAAAAATCAATTCTTGATTAGACAAAATCCGTTAATTACTTGAAATCTTAGGAAAAATGGTAAACAATCGAGTTAATATAAGTTTTTATTAATAATATAAAAGCCAATTGAACAAAAATTTTAAAAAATGAATATCGACTAAAGAAAATTATTTTTAAAATTATATCAGTAGTAGAGGACACTTTTTTGTCAGACTTAGTGTTTTATTTCCCTCAAATTACTCAATTAGTGGTAAAAATTATATTTACAGTCAGAAAAAAATGTTTAATTTTCATTCGTTCTTGAAAATCAGTAGTAAAAGTCAGTATTCAGTCAGACAGGACAATTTAAATTCTTAAAATCAAACAATAAATAATAAAAGTTCTTTATGAAAATAAGAAACTGTTTTAAATTCCAGAAACTTTAAGTAATAGTAGTAAAAGTAAATTTTCTGTCAGACAAAATAATTATATTTTTAGAAAATTCAATGTTGCAGTAGTAAAAGTCAATTTTAAGTCAGACAAAATAATTGTATTTTAGGAATTTTTCATTTTTGTAGAAAAAAAATTTTTTAATCGAACATATCGTTTTAAATGTCTGAAAATGAATGTATCTGTAGTAAAAATTAATTCTTAGTCAGACAAAATGTGTTAAATACTTTATATCTTAGTATAAGAAAAAACAATCGAGTTAAAAATCGAGTTAATTTAAAAAACAATTGAACAAAATTTCGAATAAAATGAAACTGTATTTTTTTTAAATCAGTAGTAAAATTAAGTATTCAGTCAGACAGAGCTATTTAAATTCTTAAAATAAAAAAAAAATAATAAAAGTTCTTTAAAAAAATAAGAAACCGTTTTTAATTCCAGAAACTTTAGTTAAATATTTGAAATCTTTTAATTATTAAGATAATTATTATTCTATAATTATTAAGATAATTATAATTCTATAATTAGTAAGATAATTATAATCCTATAATAAGTATAAGAAAAGTTAAAAATTCGAGTTAATTTAAAAGTCAATTTTCAATTGAAATCATAAAAATACATAATAATTTTATAATTTATAATTGTAACTAATTTTCTCCTCATTGCCATGAAAAGGAACATTATTTATTAAATGGAAATGTGTAATAACGTTAAAGACCAAAGGAATTTAGAGAAATTCCCAACAGGGTTGAAGGCAATTTGCTGAGTTTTGGAAATTCGTGATAGTTTAAAGTCACGTATGAAGCCGCATAAAAGCCAAACTATAATTCAGTGATGACTGTTCAACATAGATGAAATACTACAAGCAGCTTGTTGTATCAATTCTCAAGTATTGCAACTTCCACTCAGGAATATTATTTAGGTAATTCAAAAGTTGTAATGAGTTGTCTAAACTCCATAGAGACTGCGATATTTTAGTTGAGACATGATATTCCTTTCACTTAATTACCATAAAGTGGATTTAATGGCAACAATTTCCAATATTTGTTTAATATACGAGAAATTCGAAATTACGTCCAAAAAAAAAAAACTCATTTTGATTTTTGTTTATTTTATAATTATATTTAAACTAGTAACAATTGTCACTTAATTTTTTAAATAAAATTAGCAATTTTAAAAATAATAGAATTTTTTTCGAATTTTTTTTTTTATAAAAATAAAAGTATGAAAAAATACTTGCATATTTTCGATTTGTCAAACAATATTTTTTAAAGGAAAAAAACAGAAACTAACTTCAAAGTTTAAACTAATTAATAATATTTATTATTAATTTATTTTTTCTATTAGCTTCTTGTTGCAAAAAATTTGTAAAATTTACTTTTTTCGAAAATTGCTCATTTACTCTCCAGGTATAAAAAAAAAAGAAAAAAAGTGTTTTCCGTAAAAAATGAAATATTTTCTTAAATTTGCTTTTGATAAATGCTATTTTATATCTTTTAGAATCAGGAACTCACCTCAGGTAATTCCATGGTGTCCGGTACATCTCTCGTGATGTCCGGATCTGGCGGTTTGTGTTCCGGAAGAAGGGGTCCGTACCGTCTGGTTGCCATCCGACGTCTTCTGTCTAACCATCGTTGCCTCTCAGAATTTTCAGATTCCTCGTCAATCCCAAAGAAAATTGCAGTTTCCCGTTTAATGTAACTGAAAAGATGGCAATTTTTTCGTTAACTTCTTCATTTTTGGTAAAAAAAAAAATTGAAATACATAATAAATAATAATAAATAACAATAAAAATAATAATGTAATAAAAAATGATGATAATAATAATAAATGAAAAAATTTAAAATTTAATATACGCTATTTATTTACTCTCTCTGTGTGTCCAACAGAGTTCGTAATCATAAATATTTGATAAATACTCTAAACATAATATTAACAAAAATATACCAAAAATAATTAAATGTAGAATTAATAATACGATATAATATAAAAGTAATCGTAAATAATTAATAAATTAAGTATAAATAGTAATGAATAATAAAAATTATTAAATATAGAATTTATAATACGATATTATATAAAAATAATCATTAATAATTCATTAATTCTTTATAAATAATAATAAATTCGTAAAACAGAATTAATAATACGGTAAAGTATAAAAGTAATCGTAAATAATTTATATATTCTAAATAAATAACAATAAACATTATATAAATATAATGTAATATTACTATATTTATAATTTTATATAAATATAATATAAAAAAATAATAAAAATGAAAATAAATATTAAAAATATTGAAAATAAAGTTAAATTCTAAATATAAAATTAATACGACAGGTACAATGCAAAAATATTAAATAACTAATAAATTCTGAATGTTCGAAAACAAAAATTTTCGTTTCAAAAAGTCATCTATACTTCTATTTTTGTATATATACGAAATGCATTAATGGAAAGAATAATTTAATTAAAAAAGTACAGAGAGAATCATTTTTGCCATAATAATTCGTGATATTTTTTTGATAATAAAAGAGATTTTTAGATTTAATTAACGAAAGAATTAAAATTATTAAAACATCCAAAATAAAATTAATTCTTACTCTGCCATGTTTACTACTCTAAATGAACGTTGTAATTACAAATTTAATATTCCCGAAACATGAACATTAAAAAATTTTCATTTTATATATGAGACAACAAAACGTCGTTACAAACAATGCTTTTGAAAATAATTTTTAATTAATATTTTTCTCTTTGTCAAAAAAAAGAAGAATGGTAAAACATTCACATAAATAATAAGCCTAATTACTTATTGTACTTTTACAAATTCGACATGTATAAAAGTTTTCTCGTGTGTAATATATTGTTAATAAAAAATAAGAAAACTATATTAAAAATTCAGTTTTCTTACTTTTTTTGTTCAATTTTACGAAATTTAGATTATTTGGAAATTCTTCAATTAAATATAATATTAAATTTAATATAATACTTCAAATAATTACAAAAAAAAAATTCAAATAAACTTTTTCAAAAAAATTAATTCTATATTGAATTGTTAGTTAAAACGTTAAAAGTATGAAAAATTGAGATTTTCAAATATTTTAATTTGAAATCTTTTCAAAATTCAATTATTTCTAAAAATTCACGCTATAAGGCTTTTAAAAATCAATTATTATCTAAAATTTTAACTAAAAATTATTTTTAAATCAATTTTTAATAGAAAATTCTACGAGAATTCAATTATCTAAATGCAAAACTAATTAATTTATTGAATAATTAAATGTTTCTTAAAATTGAATTTTCATAAACAATTAAATTTTATTTTATCAACAAATTTTTAAATAATTCAATTCTTGCGACGAATTTTAATAAAATTTTTAAGAAAAATTACATTGAAATTTTTGCAAGAATAAATTTTTTTAAATAATTGAATTTTGGAGAAGTATTTTATTATTTATAAAAATAATTGAAATTTTCAAAAAATGTTTGAACATAATAAATTGAATTTTTGGGGAGAATTTTATTACTTTTGTTAATAATTGAATTTCTGCGATAAGTTTTATTATTTATTATTTATTAAAATTGAAAATATTGAAAATCAGTAAATTGAGGATAATTTTTAAAAATAATTAAAATTTTTAAAAATAATTGAATTTCAGAGAAGAATTTGATTATTTATAAAAATAATTGAAATTTTTTAATGTAAATGAATTCACGCGAATAATTTTATTACTTTTGAAAATACTTCAAATTAAAGTTTTTTTTATTGTTTTTTACTACAATTCTTCAATAAATCTATTATTTTTGAATAATTTTGCCAAGAATTTTATTAAAATTTTCAAAAATAATTTACTTTTGGAGAAGAATATTATAATTTATAAAGATAAATGAAATTATGACGAGAATTTTTGAACAGAATTGAATTTCTGACAAAAATATAATTACTTTTGAAAATAATTAAATTCTTAAAAAGTATTTTATTATTTATGAAAATAATTAAATGTTTGAGTGGAATTTTATTAAAATTTTTTTTTTAAATAATTAATTTCTTTTGGAGAATTTTATTAAAATTGTATAATATTGAAAATCATTGAATTGAGGAAATATGTTTGAAAATAATTGAATATCGGAAAAGAATTTTATTATCTATAAAAATAATTTAAATTTTTACTAGAATTTTAAAATATTTTTTTAAACATAACTGAATTTTGTGATGTAAGAATTTTATTACTTTTGAAAATTTAAATTAATTTAAATTAATTAAATTTATTAAAATTTCTAATTGAATTCATTCAAAATTGAAATTTTATAAAATTTTAAATTGATACCTTTTTAGAAGTTCATTCTATTTATGAAAAATGTAAACGCAACTCTTTTGAAATTCAATTAATTTTAAAATATATAAGTAAAATTATTCATTAAATAAGTAAGAAATAATTTTATAATAGTTCTTCAAGAATGAAGTTATTTGAAAAGAAATTAGTGTGTAAAATAAAACAAATTAAAGGTTTAGCATTAGAATTCGTGGTAATTTCATAGTTTATGAGACGAGCAAAAAATACACAAAAATTCATAATTTTCTCATGATTTCTAAGCATTTAATTTTTTACACTACTTTTAATAAAAATCCCTGACTTTTCCCTGATTTCCCTGACCAGTTCTACTTTCCCTGACTTTTTCCTGAATTCTCGACTTTCCTGATCTATGGCCACCCTGAATAAATAAAACAAAAAACTTACTTATTTATAAAAAAAAAACCATCTAAATAGTTGTATGAGGCGAAAAAAGTGTCACGTGAGTTCGAGTTGTGTAATTTTTGTAAATTTCTACTATTTTAAAAAAAGACAACACTCTCTGAAACTGAATCAGTGAAATTTGACTGAGAATCAGTGACTCTATTCTCGCGATTTGAATCAGTGGAATTTCACTGAAAATCAGTTAAAAATTATTGAAATTTCAGTCATTTTTCACTGATTGGCCAATTAAAAAATAACTGAAATTTCCAATATGTGTGACAGAAATTTTCAGTAGTTTTTTAATTGGCGAATCAGTGAAAAATGACTGAAATTTCAATCATTTTTAACTGATTTTCAGTGAAATTCCACTGATTCAAATCGCGAGAATAGAGTCACTGATTCTCAGTCAAATTTCACTGATTTTCAGTGGAATTTCACTGATTCAGATTTAGAGAGCATGGAGAGGAAGTTTTTTTTTTCTTTAGGGTATTTTTCTAAGTCAAGAAGATAAAAAAAAGTGAAAAAGTGTTACCAAAAGAAAAGAAAGAGAAAAAAAGAGGATCAACTCCGTGTGATCCCTGTAGAGTTTAGCAAGGTATTAGTAGATTTGGAGAATTAATTGAAAACGTACTTTCGAATGGCGTCAGTTCGGCTCGGATTCCTCCTCAACCTAGACCTTTGTCCCATGGTGGCTGAATTACTGGAGGTTACTGGTGGCAATGGTCGTTGACCCGATGGAGCTGACATACTCCTGGTAATGTTAGGTGTTGTACCGGCTGAAGTGACTGTTCCGGAAGAGCTGATTGTGTTTTGAGGAAGGGATGGGGAGCTATCGACAGGTGTTACCGTCGACGTTTCCGTTGATGCACCTTCAACGGCGTACATACCAATGTTCTGCTCGTTCTCACCATCAGGCCCACTTGAGGAGATGGTTGAAGTGCCAGTTGTACCAGAACTCGGCGAGGGTTGCCTAAAACACACAACGACATTCAAATTTTATTCACTCTCCTCAATTATTATTTCTTCTTATTTTATCTCATCTTATTCTTAAAAAGTCACTTTCTATCTAAACATTTATAAAATCCGGAAAAAAATATTTAAAAAAAAACATTAAATATTAATTTCAATTCAAATTTTTCGCCACACAGTTTTCTTGAAAGTATCAAATTGATACTAAAGTGGATCAAACTGATGCAAAAAATTTGGATCAATTTTTTTTTATCCTCATGTTTGGTATCAATTCGTTGCTACTTGATACTTTTAAGTTAACAGTGCACGAAATTCAGTAACTTTTGTTAAAAAAAATGCTAATTAAAAATGCTAATTAATTTTCTCAATAAATAAAAAAAATAAAATAAAAAATAATTCGAATAAGTACGACTTTCAATAAAATTAAATTCAATACATAGCAAAAATTAGGTAAAATACACAAAAATATATAAAAAAAATACCAAAAAACAAAAAAGAGACGATTAAATGAATCAAAAATCCTAAAAACAATCGATTTAAATTTTTAATTCTCGGGCCAAGGAAAAACTAAAGAAAAAAAAATCAATAACAAAACCTAAGAAACAGTGTTAACCTAATAGTATCAAATTACAACGAATCAGTGCTCGAACCATTAAAGTATTCAAAAATACAAATTTTACGGACCAAAAATGATAAATTACGGATCAATTACTAACAAAAATATAACCAGTCCGAGACAAAAAAAAATTTACTTAAAACTATAAATTAAATTTTTCATAACTATAAAACATGAAGGTATCAATAACAAGGATCGATTTCTTCATGTTTTATAATAATTAAATATGACCGAGTGTTTCAATTATTTAAATACAAAAGTAAATTATTTATTGAATAATTCAATGCTTTTAAAATTTAATTCTTAGAAAGAATTTTATTAACAAATTTTCAAATAATTAAATTCCATCAACGAATTTTAATAAAATTTTTAAGAATAATTACATTTTTCGAAAAATTCGATTAAAATAAGTATTAAAAATAATTGAAATTCTACAATGAGATTTATTATTTGTGAAAATAATTGAATCTCTAAAGAAATTCTCTTTATTATTTTTAAACAATATTTAATTTTTGCGAAGAATATTTTTACTCTTGAAAATAATTGAATTTTTGCAATAATTTGAACTTTTACAAAATTGAATTTTTTTCGTGTCTTTAACTAAACATCTTCTATAAATCCATTATTTTTAATAATTTTTGAAAAAATTCTTTAAAAATTTTCAAATACATTTGTTTACAATTCAATTTTACAAAATTTCAATTATTCATAAATTCTTCAATTAAATATACATATTAAAAAATGAAAACTTTAAATAATTTCAAAAAAAATATGCAATTAAAGTTTCTTACAAAAAATTAATTTCATAAAATTCTTTGTTAAAAATATGAAAAATTGAAATTTTCAAAGATTTTATTCTAAAACCTTTTGAACATTTAATTATAATCAAAAAATTTAACTTTTAAATCCATTTTTAAGAAAATAAAGAATTTTATCAACAAATTTTTCAAATAATTAAATTCTTTCGAAGAATTTTAACAAAATTTTGAAGAATAATTACATTTTCGAGAATTTCGATTAAAATTGAATTAAAAGAAATTGAAATTTTACAATAAATTTTATTATTTGTGAAAACAATTCAATCCCTGAGAAGAATTTTATGTTTTTCAAAAACAATATTTAATTTTTGCAAAGAATATTATTGAAAATAATTGAATTTCTGAAAGAATTTCTAGAATTAAATTTTTTTTCTTGTTTTCAACTAAAATTCTTCTCTAAATGCATTATTTTTAATAATTTTTGAAAAAGTTCTTTGAGAATTTTCAAATTCATTTGTTTAAAAATTTACAATTAAATTTTACAAAAGATCAATATTATTCGTAAATTCTTTAATTAAATATATATTAGAAAATAAAAACTACAAACAATTTAAGAAAAGAAAAATTCAATTAAACTTTTTCGAAAAAAAATTAATTTTACAGAACTGTCAGTTAAAAATATGAAAAATTCAGATCTTTAACGATTTTAATTTCAAAACCTTATTAAATTTAAATTATTTTCAAAAATTCACGCAATAATGATTTTTATATTCAATTATAATCTAAAATTTTAACTAAAATACATTTTTAAATCAATTTTTAATAGAAAATTCTACGAGAATTCAATTTTATTTAAATACAAAAATAAATAATTTATTGAATAATTACATGTTTCTTAAACCTAAATTCTCATAATGACTTTTATAAGTAAATTTTTAAATAATTTGATTCGTTTGACGAATTTTAATAAAATTTTTAAGAATAATTAAATTTTTCGAGAAATTTCATTAAAATTTTATTAAAAATAATTGAAATTTTGCGATGAGTTTTATTATTCGAGGAAATAATTGAATTTCTAAAAAGAATTTTATTATTTATGAAAATAGTGTAAAATTATTACAAAGAAATTGATTGATTCCTATTATTTATGAAAATAATTAAATGCTTGGGTGGAATTTTGTTGAAAATTTTTTTTAAATAATTGAATTCTTTTGGAAAATTTTATTAAAATTGTAAATATTAAATTGATGATGATTTTTTTAATTTAATTTTTTCCTAGAATTTTATTAAAATTTTTAAAAATAATTGAATATCGGAGAAGAATTTGATTATTTATAAAAATAATTGAATCCCTGTAAAAAATTTGATTATTTATGAAAATAATTGAATGATTGCGAAGAAATTTATAAAAAATTTGTAAATAATTGAATTCCTATAAAAATTTTATTATTTTTATGAAAATAATTAAAGGTTTGAGTAGAATTTTATAATATTTTTTCAATAATTGAATTCTTTTGGTAAATTTTATTAAATAAATAATAGATATTAAAAATCTTTGAATTGAGGAAAATTTTTGAAAATAATTTAAATTTTGACAAGAAGTTTATTAAAACTTTTGAAAATAATTGAATTTTACAGAAGAATTTCATTATCCAGTTTTGGTATTAATTTGATGCTTTCAAGAAAACTGTGAAAAAAATATATTTAATTTCTAAAAATATAATTTTATATGAAGTAAAAAAAAAACGAATTCTGAGAAATAATCTCTCGACAGTGGGACCAGAATATTTTTTTTCAAAAAACGCTTTACGTCATTGAAAATGATGTATACATGCGCGATGTGGCGATTAAAGTCTAAAAATAAGATGAAAATTCTATACACGCACACAAGACATATAATAAACGGCAGAAGGATCTCGTCGTGGTAGTTGTCAAAATAAAAGAGACTCGACTGTATTCACGGCAGTAAAACTCTAATATCCGCACCCGACGAGTTAAAGGCGGAAAAGCAACGGTTGAGAAGATTGTTGTTTTGTTGGCAAACTTTAAATCCAAAGGTTATTGACCATTGTTATAATTCCGCCTCAGTTGGAAGGCTTTATAGCCATCTGGCTCATTTACTTGTTTAACTCAACAGACTATAATCTGAAATTCATGACATTACTGCCGCATTCAGTTGGGGAAAATGGCTATCCATTGTCGGTGTGTGAAACTGCGATTTTGATATGGGTGCAATTCTTCTGAAAGTGATATTTTTTTTTGATGTCTCGATGAATTTTCATGAAATCTACTCGCTAATGTTTTTAATATTTTTATTATAAAAATAATTATAAAATAAAATATCTTTATAATATATTAATAAAACATTTATTATTATTATTTTCTATTTATTATTCAAATTCTAAACTGATTTCCGTCGGTTAATAAACTGATTTGACTATTCAAACTAATTTTCTATTTTTAATTATTAAAAGAGACTGACATCTTAATTAATTTGATTAAAAATCCATTTTACTACTTAAAATAAGTGTTATAATAAAATAGAAACCTAATAATTTTCACTGATTCACTGAATTTTAAATTTGTTTGGAAAAAAATAAGCTACTTAAAAAAACGAAAAGTTTTATAAATTATTAAAAAGAAAGTCTACGTATAATGTTTGTCGCATTAAGAATTATTGTATGACATTAAAAAGGTGTGGATTACGCAATTTGAAACACTCTCAGCAATAAAGGCCTGCTGTAGCGTATAGGCATTGTAAATTAAGACAACATTGAATTCCTTGTCTCCAAACTCGTGCGCCATTATACGCTTGGGCAACGTTACGCTAGTTGCAATTAGACAATTGCATGTCGCCCTCGGCAATCACAGAAACCGTCTCTCCTCTATATCGATGTGTTTAAAGTGAACACTCACTAACATAAGACCCTACTACCATAACACAATAGTTAAATACACTGTCCATTGTCCAACTATATTCAGGCATTGTATTCAATAAAGCTTATTCAGTTTTGCTCGTTCATTTCATTAAATTCTAACTATATTCATTTCATCCATCATCCTCCAATTTTCTTCATAACATTCAATTTCTTCAATTTCAGAAAAAAATTTCTTTATAATTAACCTTAACCTTGAACATCTATCATAAAATAAATAAATTATTTAATGAATAATTTTACTGAAATATCTCAAAATTAATTCAATTTTAAAAGAGTTGCGTTTACAATTGTCATAAATAAATGAACTTCAAATAGTTTCAATTTGAAATTTTATAAAATTTCAATGTTGAATGAATTTAATTAGAAATCTTAATGAACTTAGATTTTTAAAAAATTTTAATAATTCAAAATCTTCTAAAATTAATTAAATTTGTCAATATATATTTAACTATAATTATTAAGAATAATGTATTTATAAAAGAATTTTAGTTAAAAATACTAAAAAAAATTGAATTTTGTAGAAGTAGAATTTTGTAGAATTTTTTTTTTATTGTAAAACTTCAATTTTTTTCAAAATTTACAAAAAAATTTCGACAAAATCCCAATTATTATCTTTATAAATAAAAAAAAAATTCTTCAAAATTTAATTATTTTCAAAAATTTTTTTCATTTCCATGATTTTCAGTAT